TTTAAGATATTTTGCATATTTTGTATTATGAGAATTGCCAAAATGTAGTTGCTAATGTGGATTAAATAGCTAATATACCACATAAAAAAAGATAAAAAAAGATAAAGAATTAGTATTAAAATCTAAATCAATACTTTTCTTATTCATATAACCACGAACGTATTTGCAAATATAATAGCTATGCGAACCAACCTGTAAATTTGTATGTTTGAGAAATTGCTTGTCCAGCTTTTTATTATTTTGGATTTTACTACAATTAAAGAACTGAATAATATTTAGTTCTTATTTAGTTTTGTTATAATATTATATTAATAATACCATCGACTAAAAAATAGTAACTGTTGAGCACCTAAAAGCATTTATCTATTATTTATCTATCATATACTGGGCCTATCCTCCAAGAATCCTTGATCCAACGTATATGATTCATGTCAAATCCTATGTCTATATGTTTTTTGATTGTCCTCACTTGCAAATACTTTTCGATGACTCCAGTTATTTTTCTGTCTTGCATTGTATCTTTTGGTGAAATGAATATCATCGGTCTTCTTTCTTTCCACATTTTAAAAAATGTCTCTAACTCTGAATGTGAGAACCACCATCCTTCTGATAAATTTATCAGGTGTAAATTTTTTGATGATTTTTTCCCTAAACATTCGAATACCCAATTTGCATCAACCTTTTCGCAAATTACTATTTTGATACCTTCTAATTGCTGACAGGATATCAATAAATTGCCAAGAAGATCTTTGACTTGGTTCATGTAAGGAATAGTAATGAATTTAAGCTTTGGACAATTTCGAGCAATAGCTTCAAGATATGATCGTAAATCTTCTTCTATTGGTTTCGTGACTTCATTCCAATATATTCTTTGCAATGTATGTTGGGTTTGCTTAATCAACCTTGTAAGAAGACTAATATGAAGTTCACATTTAAGACCAAATATATCAAGTATTTCGAGATATGGAAAATTTGCTTGTTCTAATATCTCTTTAACATATGAAGCGCCAAGGTCAATCAGATCAAATTGTAATGTCTTTAGGTTTATAAAGGACCACAGAATTTTTGGCGATATGCATGCAAGGAATGATAATCGAATATGTGAGAGGGTATCAGCTTGTGTCTTTAAAGCATTGCCAATATTAGTACATTCGTCACCTTCTAGTGATGCAATTTCTAGATATTCTAATCCATGTTGATTTCGAATTAGCGTTGCCAAACCATCATTGTCATGGTCACAGTCAACAATCAACTTCTGTAAGGAGCGACAAATTTCTGCAATTTCATAAAAAGATCCACTATCGTAATTGGCATTACATTCCAAAACTAATAATTGACTTAATCCTTCCCTACAAGCACAGAAGTCTATTAATCGACGCATATGTTGTGGAAGCTCGAGATGTTTAAGATTCGAATTTGAGTTGATGAACATCATATAAATATGTTTCATGTAAAAGTATCGGACATAATCCGGAATAGAATAGGCCAACCCATTTCTATTTTCTATCTCATTCCAAAGTTGCCTAATATCATACCGTGGGAGATACTGGCAATATGAAGTATATTTAAATAATGGAGTTCGAGCTGGAGGAAAATCAATGACAACGTTCTTGTATTGTTGTCTCAATACCTCTCTTATTTCAAGGGGGATGAATGATAACAAAATCATAGTCATTGCTTGGTTGAATTTTTCTTCGCCGATATCGAATTTATATTTCCAAGGATTGCACCACAAGATAGGAACAGTAAGACGACACCATGTCCGATTTACTAATAAACAGGAATGTAAAGCCTTGACATCATTTGACAAATATTTAAGAATTTCTTCGACACAATCCGTAGTAAGTTGGACCACCATTATTTTAGTCTTAAAACAGTCCGAAGACAAAAAATGAATCTAGACATATATGAATAAAGATCATTTAATTATAAATTGGCGACCCCGCCTTCATGACCAGATTACACAGTGTAACTGTACAAAATTAGTAACTTCGAGGTGCCACCAAGAACCCGTGGTATTTACCAATCAAACAATAGCAAATTGAGCATGTACAGACGTACGTACGTACGTATGTATTTACGTACGTACGTACGTACGTACCAGGCACCCGATTTGTCACGCAGATCACAGAGGTAGTTAGTAAAGTAGTACAGTACGGTAGTACAAATTTGTACGTACGGACGTAAATTGGGCGAGATTTTGATAG